TGTGGCTGCTGGATGACAGGAGGCTGTTGCTGCCACCTGGGACTGGTGCTGGGAGCAGCCCGTACCCAGTGCTGGGAAGATTGCTGCTGCTGCTGGCCCCAGGCGGCAGAACCAGCCTCCTGTCATCCAGTAGGCAGATTGGGGGCTCACCCGCACCCCCCGGGAGGGCTGTGGAGCCTCTACCGGACTCCTCCTGGGGGTGCAGGCCCCAACCTGCCTGACGGATCATAGGAGACTGTGCCTGCCACCTGGGGCCAGTGGCAGCACCAGTCTTCCTGGTGCTGAGTGCGGGCTGTGCCCAGCGTCGGTCCCAGGCAGCAGGAGCAGCCTTCTGTCATCTGGCTGTCAGATCGGGGCCCACACCCCCCAGGAGGGGTCCGGCAGAGCCCCGCAGCCCTCTCAGGGGTGTGGGTGGGAGGCTGCCACTTCTGCCTGGGACCCCAGCATTGGGCGCAGCATGCACCCAGTGCACCTCAATGGAGCGGAGCCCGGTGGTAGGAAGCAGAGTGCAGCCCGGCCCTCAGCTCTGCTTCCCCCACCACCAGGCTTAGTTCCCCAGCACTGTGAGCTGCTGGGAGCTGAGCCTGGTGGTAGGAGGCACTTCCCCCCCGCACCAGGATCAGAGCACAGCCTGGCTGCGGGAGGCAGGCAGAGATGGTGCTGTGCTCCAACTGGCTCCACCAGCCCCACAGAATTTAGCCCAGTGGCAGGAGGTGGGGAGAGCCAGGGCTGCGCTCCCCACCAGGCTGAACCACATGGGACTGTGGAGCTGCTCGGAGTACAGCCCTGGCTCTCCCCTGCTTCCCACCACCTGACTGGCTGCTTCAAAATTCAAAACATTTCAAAACTTTCAAAACATTTAAACTGGCTTTGTTTTGTTTCGAGACTGGTTTCAAAGCCCTTTGTTTCATTTTAATTTCACTGTTTCAGGCTCGAAATGAGTCAAAACAGCATCAAAATGAAACAGCTGGCGAAGCTTTGCACACCCCTAATAAAAATTGTGCAAAAATAAATCTGCACTGGTTTAACATCAGATAATCATTATGGCTGTGCAAAATTTCACCGGCTGTTTCGATTCAACACTGTTTCAACTTATTTTGAGCTTGAAACAGTGAAATTGAGTCGAATTGAAGGGCTTTGAAACAGTCTCGAAACAAAAAACGAGGCTAGTCGAAACGTTTCGAGTTTCAAAGCAGGCAGCAGTGAGGTGGTGAGAGGTAAGGGAGAACCAGGGCTGTGCTCCCAGCAGCAGCCAGGAGTGCAGCTTTGGCTCTCTCTGTCTCCCACCGCAAAGCTGCGGGAAGCCGATAATAGTGCAGGGGAAGGGAACTGAGGCTGTGATAAGGCTGGGGGTGAGGAGTCAGCCAAGCTGGGCTGACTTCCTTTCCCCAGCCTGATCTAGTGAAATGTCGAAACAGCCTCACTATTCTGATGAAGAAAACGGAACAGCTGTTTCAAATCTAAATGAAATTCGAAACAGAATGCTGTTCCCTCGAAATCTCGAAACTCAAGGTGAAACGGAATGGTGCTGTTTTGCACAGCTGTATTAATCATGTTGGACTAGTCATACATACACACACACACACACACCCTCACCCACACATATGGTCAGAATCAACCTTTTCTTATGAATACTGAAAGAAACAAAACATTGAATACTTGAGCTTCCTTTATACGATCCATTATTTACATTCATTCCCCATTACATAATGAATCTGTACTTTCCTTTGTATTTTGTGAATTATAATGTGTCTTAACAGGGCTGACTTTTCCTCCTTAAAGGGACAACCTGCCGTGTTAGAGTCCCTTTCTTGTTTTTCATCATGTTGTGCCTTAGCTTTTCTGAGTTTTATCCCAGTGGGCTTGTGCTATTCCTTTATATTCATGCTTAATGATATGCCCTTATTTGCAGATTTTATATGACTCTCCTTTTTTTTGATTTTCTGATCCTTCAAAAGTCACTAATGCAGCCACAATGCATTAGGGATGGCACAGGGATTGTTTATCATTGTGCCTTTAACATAGTCTCTTTCCGTAACTACCAGGTGTCCTGCACTCCTTTATCCGCTTTTATCTCCCCAAGATACCCTGTTAAAGTCTGCTTTTTAAAAGTCTATTATCTGTATAACTGTTATATTCATAACAAGGGACTGCAGATGATTATCATCTTTATTGTACTGTTTTACTCCTGCCTTTCTTAGGCTAGAGAACACTACTAAAAAGCAGGGAAATTCAGAAACTGCCTATGAATAGGGTCAACTTTAAATCACAAGCCCAGCTCACTAATATTGTGGCCCAGTCATGGCGGGAGCACCTTTTTTTGCCCAGATCAGGGGGCTGTCTGCTTTGATGTCTGTTGCAGGCTAGGGAAAGTATTCCCTAGCTAGCAGCAAAAGCCTAGCAGCCCAGGGGCAGGTGGAAAGGGTAACAAAAGTGGTAGGGGGAGGAGAGAGCCTGGGGATGAGTAGGGGAAGGGCTATTTGCTCCTCCAGGTGGGAAAGTAAATGTGGTGGTTGTGGGCAGCTGGGGGCTGCCTTAGCAGATAGCCCTGGCACTGGATAGGGGAGGGGTTGTTTGCTTCTCCAGGTAGGAAAACTGGGGCCCCGAGGGCTGGGGGCAAGGGGAGAGAGCACATGCATGGAGGACCAAACAGCTCCTCCCCTACCCAGTACAAGGGCCATCTGCCAAGGCAGATCCCAGGTACTTCAAACCGCCCACAGCCCAGTTTGCCCACCTGGAGGAACAAATACCCATCCCAAAGCTCTCTCTTTTCTGTCCCTTTTGCGACCCCTTCTCCCCTCCCCTGGACTGTTTGGCTTTTGCTGCTGGCTGGGGAATGCCTTTCATGCTACCTCTACAGTACAAAGCCAGAACAAGTTCTCCTAGGCCCTCAAATTATAGCCGGTGGGCTGAACTTGGCACAACAAGTGATTTCCTCCAGCCCATGAAGCCTGAGTATTGGTGGCAGGGAGATTCTATGGCAGATCACATGGACTTCTGCAGCACTTTGGCAACAGAGAGAAGTGTCAGAAGGTGGGTTAGAAGCCCTTGCCTACCACAGAACAAGCTGCATTATTTCAACCCACTGCTCCTAATAGGCTGGTGGCCTCATTGCTAGACTGTTCCTAATGTTTGCTGATGGGATAAAAGAATGACCTATCTCCATGTGAGCTGTTGAGCTATATCTCGGACTACTAAAGCATGCTATGACATGAGCATCAGGACAGTTTAGTTCTCTTTTGACCGGAGCCTACAGTCTGCTTCATTTCCATGAGCTGTCTTAGTTTCACAGATATGCAAAGCTTTTACTGGGAACTGAGTTAACATGCTCTCTTAGTACTGCTCTTTGGTAGAGGCCTCTGAGCCTCAACCCTGCTTTGAAGGTGCCTTTCTGCAGTTATTATTTCAGTAGGCTCTAACCGTGAACTTCCAGGACTGAGTTACTGCTTGTAAGTCACCAAAAGTGGAAGACAGAAAGACAATCAGTTTAAGAAGGAAAACTCAGTTATTAACCTCATGGTAACTAGTTTTCCACATGGAAAACCAAGTATGTGATATCTGTAGATCTAGAAAGATACGGATATATTTCTATACACAGTGTAACATACTTATATAGCAGGCAAATGTCTAATTTGCTTAAGTGAATGAGGGAAAAAAACCCATATATTTTGCTTGTTGCTTACATTGTAACAAAATGTAGTTATCTGTATACCAGCTAAGTGTATAAAATGCTTAAGTACATACTGTCTTTCAGCACCAGTCTACCTTGTAACTAACTGTCATTCTGTTCAATTGTGCCAGAAACAGTGAAGGCTTCATTTTCAAGGTTTCTAACAAGCAGCTCCCAAACTGAATATAAGCCTTGAAAATGAGGGAAGCTGATCCATTTGGGGACTGCTTACACAACAGCACTGAAAATTCTGTGTAATTACCAACTATTTGTACCATTAAGTTTGGAGAGGTGCAAAGCTATTTTTCAGTCCAAGGCTGTGCAGTTAAATGGAGTACACTATAATTAAAGGATGTATCTGGCTTAATATGCTGTATAGCATGCTGTACTTTTACTGTTATGGTATTCTAACTCCCACATGCTTAATAGAGGGAGAAATTTTGATGGCTTGATTTATGGGTCATTTGTTTTATTACAGATACAAAGGTCGTGTCGAACTCCCAGACAATTTAAAATCTCTGTTTCGGCCTGTCTCAATGATGGTACCAGACTATCAACTCATTGCTGAAGTAATGTTATTTTCAGGAGGTTTCAAATCAGCTCAATCATTGTCTGGGAAACTAGTCAAGCTTTACCAGTTAGCTAGCAATCACTTGTCACAACAGGTGAAATGTCCTTTTCAGAAGTATGCTTTGTATATTATAGAACATACCTAGCATGTGGATATGTGTTTGCACAGACCCCCAGAACACATGTGGAATTCACTACTAATGCATCTATAAGTTATGTTGTAGCAATTTAAAAGCAAATATCTTAAGGAAATATGTTAATATTAAGTAGGTTTAAAAAACTTTAATACTGTAGCCTTTGCATATAAAGTCTATGCTTAGGCAATAATTATTTTTTAAAAATTTTATTTTGTAAGTAAAAATATTAATTCATATAAACAAGGTTCATTTTTCTTCAGATTTTATTCCCCTTTAGCAACTAAATATTTAATAATGAAAATAGTTTTTTCAGGAGGTTATTTCATAATGTGAATTACCTGATTTTGATCAGGAAGTCTCGAATTGGTGTGATGCAGTATTAAAATTCACTAGCAAAGGCATTTATTTATTAGACATATATGTTGCCCTTCCCAAAAAAAGGGGTTAGGGGGGTTTACAATAAAAGGTAAAACATGTCACTAAAACAT